TTAACTTTGTGACGATATATCGTCAAACAGAAATATATATATAACCCTCTTGATGAGTCGGTACTAGGATAAACTCCGACGAAACAGTTTGTCACAGCCCCTCCCTCGTTTGCTGTCCTCTTCTTCCTCTCCCTCCCTCTCTCCCTACGGTTTATCGTCGGCAGTTCAGTGTAAATAAACTATAAAACACTTGAAGAAATAAGAATACTCTAAAACAAAGAAGAAGAGGAAGAAGAAGAAGAAGAAGAAGAAGAAGAAGAAGAAGAAGACACAAACAGTGTCTTCTGGTTTGTCTGTCTCTTTGCCTGTCTGTCCTTTCATCTTTTTCTTTTCTACTTTTCTTCGGTCATCTTATTTCTTCTTCTACGTCACGGGTTTGCGCTCTTAGTCGATAGTTCTGTGCTACTGCTATATGTGATATCCACGATCTATGGGCCTCGCCACACCACTGTCGAAACGAAAGAAAAACGAGTGCATCTTCCCCAAAAAATGGTCAGATGCATCCATATCTATTTAGAGAAAGGGTCAAACAAACTATATGTCATAACTCTGAGACAAACAAACACCTGTGGTAGGTACACACAGAGTTAAGCAAACTAATCATGGATAGATTGAGGGATAATATCAGCTCGGCGCACAGAGTCACCACATCATTACTTAGTATTACGGTATGTCTTGGCCTTCCTTCTCGCACGATTGCCTTGTTGTCCTACTATTGCCTTGGTTGTCGTACGATTGCCTTGTTGTCCTACGTACGATTGCCTTCCTAATCCCCTATCCATATAAAATTATAAATGTCTATATATATCGTCACAAGCATGTCAGAGCGCAAAAGCAAAAAAAAGGAAAAAGAAAGAAGGAAAACAGGAAAATATGAATTCATGATTTAATCTTCTTCCTTATAACTCCCCCTGTGCAGAACCTCTTGCGTACAAGGCCGCCCACGTGGATGTAGGTTGAGCGGCGGCTGCCCCCACCCCCGTGTGTCATATCGACCCACTTGCACACAGCCAGAAGGCAAAGAGGCAAAGAAAAGAGGAAGGGAACAGCCAAATAATACAGAACAGGGGGCAACGAAACAGATCCCAGATGA